CCTCTAGCGGTTGTCAATGAGACAGCCGCTAGAGGAAATAGGGGAAGGCTTAACCCTTTCATAAACATAGCAGTTTCTCTGAAACTGCTATGTTTATGAAAAAATGGGTTAACCCTAGCTGGACCTGGCACCCAGACCACTTCATTAAGCTGAAGTGGTCTGGGTGCCTAGAGTGGTCCTTTAAATTAACATTTGTGAGTTAAGAAAACTGAATAAAACTTAATCAATATTGCTTAGCTCGAATAATAATTATCACTATAACATGCAGTATAAAAAGTCCCAAATGTACAAAGTTCAATGTAGCAGTCTTATATAGAATCACAATTAGATATTGACACTGTTTGTACAATGTTAGCCTATGTCAAGTAACTTCAGCTATTGAGCCAGCTGGGGTTAGTCTCCTGAACAGGCTATTAAATATAGTACTATTAGTGATGTCTTCTCCAATTTAAAATAAGTCACTTATATGTTCACAGCATAGAGTTGATACACTATAAGAGCATGTGTGATGATTTTAAATGTTAGCATGAGTTCACCGTTAATTTTGCAGATCTTATTTGAGTGAAGGTAGTAAATGCTTGTAGTGAAGGGGGGGCTTGATGGTTGACACGGTCCTGCAGTCCGGCTGGTAGATGTAAAGTAATAAGGAGCCGCGTGCGTTCCACTGCTCTCCCCTCATGCGTTTCAATACAACTCGGTGATTCTGCGATTTGCGGTAGATGCTGGAAAATGTTCTTACGCATTTTGTGAGTTACCACTCACTTCATCAGAGGCTATCATCCATAAAGGGCTGCTGAGTTTAAATAGCTGACTGAGTTTTCAGCTGTATGTTAATTCTTCATAGTCCAGTGTGCAAACGGTACATATACAAACCAGCTTCACATCAATTACTTGAAAAAAGGGGGTACCTTAAAGGGGTTATATTTGTAAAGTGATAACATTGTAAAAATCAAAACATTTTTTTTAAAACTCACATTAATACATACATTTGTAAAAAACATTTTGTAAAAGTATTTCTTTAAAAATTTTGTTTATGAAAATACACCAGTAAATTAATTTCATTTTGTAATTAAGTTACATTTCGGGGCAGTGTGTCTATACAATTGAATAGAAGTTTACTTGATACATGATAATTTTAATTAAAATTAATAATATATATTATCTACTAAAATAACAATGGAATAATCATAGAAAATGTTTGTAGCTATCCAAAAAGAATTGGATAGGATTATGCTTTATTCTTATACATGGTCTTGATTTAATTTGATAATTGTGTTGATTATAAAATTAACATCTATTTGTAAAAAAATGTAGGTGTATTTTAAAATGAAACAGGTCCCTTCGATATATAAATCGCGTTTAAGGCGAGATTTTGATAGAGATGTTTTAATTCTATGTAGCTAAATTGATAAATGAATAGTAGTTGAGGTTAATTGGAAAATTAAAATGTAAAATTATGGAAAGATAAAATGAATAAAAATATAAATTTAGAAAAGTGTGAAAAAATTTTAAATAAAAATTGTAAGTGAAAGATGCATTATAAAAAAGCATTTAGTTCAAAGTCCACATTTAACCCTTTCGGTTCCAAATATCTAACTGGAAAATCCACTTTGCTTCTGCTTTGTCTGGTTCTTTTTCCAGGTTTTCTCCTCTCCCGGGATGTTAATTTTTTTTGTATTGCCATGAATTTTAGACCTATGGGATTTCTTATGGGATGTCATAATGTTTCAATAAATTGTTTGAGTGAAGGCCCTTTTTAATATTTCTTAAGTGTTCCCCTTATCTGGTTTTAAGAGCTCGTTTTGTCCGCCCTACCTAAATGAGTCCTGTAGTATTGCAATTGAGGTGGGTTTTTATTTTGAATTTTTTTTTGGTTTGAGGATTGCTAAATTCTTTCATTTGTTGAGGTTGCTCTGGGTTATTAATGCAGGCTCTGCATTTTTTGCATTTCCAAAAACCTGTTTGTGCTTTTAAATAGGTGGAACTGATTTCTTTTTTTTGTCTTTTTCTCTTTTTGTTGTTGGTGCTACTAAGGTGCTTAAATTTGGTGCCTTCGAATAAATTATTTTTGGTTTATGACCTAATATTTTGTCTAATTGGGGGTCTCCTTTTAGAATATTCCTTGCAACATCATTATGAACAAAGGCAGTAGATTTTGGTACTTGTGTACACTGACTATATGGTGACGCTCCAAGTACACAGGTTTCCGGCTTATATGCAATTTTAAATGATTATTTAATAATCGATTATCTGACCCCCTCCCCTTTAGAATAAAATTATGCAATTGTCATAGACTTATACATTCAGAAATCGTTAACCCCTTTGCATCACCTTGGATGACCAAAACCTGTTTGTTTATTTAAGAAAAGCTATAAACCCTTACAAGGAAATAACATTATAATAGTTTAAAAGGTTATGGTCAGCAATGTAGTTAACAGTAAGAAAAATAAACACTCACAAAATTCAGAGCAGAAATTCAATTTATTTTGTTGAATAATTGCAATTTGTATAATTTGTCTTGTGTGTTACATATTATAGCAAGATCCTCTAAGCAGCAGTTTATGAATCACCTGAAACAATGGGTTTAAGAACCACTAATTAGAATTTAATAGAGGGTCACAACCCATTAATCTCTGTACATATTAACATTAACTGCATCCAAAAGCTTCTTTTTGTTAACTTTGCCAAAGAGTCTTTTCTTTCACTTGCTGGTTCTATCCTTTAGAAAAAGGTGAAATGTGTCACGGAGAGCACAGATGATCCATTGTTCAGATAAATCAGTCAGCAGCAGTAAACTAGTTGTGTGGTTTTCAGACCGTCTGGTTGGAAAGCAGAATTTGGCAATCTAATTTAAATTAATAGACTTTCCCCCATTAAGCATTAAGATAATTATAATGGAATTCTGTGAATTTGTGTATGTGGGATATGTTATTACAGCAAAGTAAACAGGCAGGGTTATATACTAAAGTGAAAATTCTAAGTGAATTTTAAATGTAAGGCCAACAGAAGCCAAACTTTAAGCATAGCTGACTTAGAATTGTTTTTTTTTAGTCCAGTTATTTTGACCTTAAAGGATTACTGCAACCATCATGGTGGTAGGAGTCTGTATGTGCAGTGCTTCTAGTTACACCACCGGCACACAGGACTCTGTTCTTGGCTGCCTAATATTAAATCTGTGCAAAGCGTAAGTCTGTAGTCTTGTTTCCAGTCTTGCAGTCTCAGTCTCTCCTTTACTGCAGCTCTCCCCACCTCCCTATATCCTCAGTTGTTTCTTTTTTTTTTTAAATTGTCCCTGCCTACTTCCTTTCCACTCTTATTCCTCGCTCCCTCCCTTCCCTCGCTGGTTTAGAGAGCATGTTATTTAGTGAATAACCCTGAAAATATAGTAAAATTAAAGGATTTTCTTATATTGTAAATAAACATGGTTTCCCATGGAAATGCTAAAAAATAATATTTCATTATGAGAATTTTGGTTAAACAAAAAAACAAAAAAAACACCAAAACCTGGGATTGCCTATTGGTGAACTTTGACCTATTGACAGTTTACAGATTGGTGGTGAAAAAGTAGCCTATGGCAAAGATTCCACAGTAATACATAGTGGGTAATTATAGAAAAAAAACTAGAATGTAGACAAGTAGCACTTTTATTGAGTTAAAGAATCACTATTGTGTCAGGAAAACAAATCGGTTTTCCTGACACTATACTACCCTAAGGGTGCCCCCACCCTCAGTGTCCCCCTCCCGTGGTACTGAAAGTGTTAAAGCCCATTCAGTTACTCACCTTCTTCCACCGCCGAGCTCCCTTACCTCTCCTCCGTCTGACGTCAACGGAGCGGCAGTGCCGCACGCGCATTCAAAGTGTCCATAGGAAAGCATTTTTCAATGCTTTCCTATGGACGCTCTGTGTGATGGAGGCATTAAATGCCTCCATCGTCACAGATGCGCCTCTAGTGGCTGTCCGGAAGACAGTCATTAGAGGCTGGCTTAACCCCAAATGTAAACATAGCAGTTTCTCTGAAACTGCTATGTTTACATCAGGCAGGGTTAACCCTAGAGGGACCTTGTACCCAGACCACTTCATTGAGCTGAAGTGGTCTGGGTGACTATAGTGCCCCTTTAAATTATTATTGTTTAAATACATTTTGATACATAACATATTCTGCCGTTTTGAACACCAGGTAGACACAATGTTAATAGGCTGATGATGCAAAAATATATTGTTACGGTTTGACAGGAGGAGCCCATATAGCAGAAATAAGCCAAACCGAGGTACCAAAAGGCATAAGCATAGTCAGGAAATGCTAAATGCTACTGTAGAAGACCCCATAAATCCTTTATCTGCCTTAAATTTAAATAAAATTGGCACTCCAGCTATCATACTTCTTAGAAAAATAAACCTATGTGTAATAGTTCAGAGTACACAAGCACACGTGAGTAGCCCTACTGCTTTGTGTGAATGCAGGGTTGAATTTGCACGGGGAATGGGGAATGTGTACTGCCCAACTCTCTGGAAATATTGATTCTGCTGTCGGGCAGGCAGTTTATTTTTATTTTTTTTATCTTGTAGCCATGTCGCAGACATGAAGCAGGGCTGTCTGATTGGAGCACAGAGTTAGGACAAGGAACATGGTCTGCATGACCTGGGCCTCACAAATGAGTCATGGAGCAGTCGTGGTATTGCCAACCTAAATTTGACTCACTGAGCAGTGAAGCGTAAGGGAGCAATTACTATGGTAGTTTAAACCATGCAGCCAAAAATAGCACACATTACACTCAGTCAGCATACACTATCCACATATTGCACACAGCCTGCACACCTCACACTTTACATACAGTCCGTACATAAACATGCTACACAATGATTACACTGTAAATTAAGTAGAAATGAAGCTCATAGCACTAGGGTTATAGGAAACACTTTGACAACTTGTGTACAACTCATCCAGCTATGGGTATCATCTTGTCCAAGGCATCTGGGGGGTATCATCCAGTGTGTGCTGAAAAAAGTTGCAAATGCTGCACAAAACTGATGCCAGCTATTCAGTCAATGCCAGTTGAGTCAGTCAATGCAGGTCAATTAAACAGTATTCCAGATGACTGATTAAGAGCTGTGGTCATATTTATTGTATTTATCTTAGTAGTATGGTGCTTAGAGTGAACATTTTGTCTTCTTTTAGTCCCAGGGTTAACCAAAACCATCTTCAATCCTACCTAAAAAAAAAAAAATACAAAAATCAGTATTTACTTGAATGAATACCTATTATATTGTATTTAGAACCATGCTCAAGTATACAAAACTGATGCTGGTATGCAGTGTTGATGAGCAAAACGATCCAGTTATTATATTTCCATTAGCTTTAATCGCTATGGAGAATTAATATATATATATATATATATATATACACACACACACAGTAGCTGTAAATGAGACTCTATTGTCTTTATTCTCCAGACAGGAATGTGATCATTATATCATGATTATTTTCAAGGGAAGCGTAATGAATTGGATTTACTGCTTTGCAGGGAATGTTTTTGCAAAGATTTATACTTTCATAAAGGTGTTCTGTTTTCCCGACATAAAAGAGCAGCATTTCTTAAGAAGAAGCAGCACTGAATCACTGTGAGTTTGTAGAGTAGCGGATCAAGCTTACTTATATGCACATTAACTTCAAGCGGCTCGTATTGATCTGTATCCTGCAGGGTAAGGTGAACGTGCAGAATGCATGGTGCAGTCAGCTTTGATTAATGTTTAATAGCTTACAATCCACAGGCTGACAAACCTGCCTCACCTCTCAGAGGAACATGACAAGGATTTGCTAAAAACAAAAAAATGCATTAACATTCATAAACAAGGACTAGTTTTAATTCACTATGATGACAAAATGTTTGATATGTAATAAACTCCAATGCTAAGGCAAGATGTGGCTTGAGAATGCACCAGAGGTCATTTGAAAATGAATTTCTATGGAAAATCGTCACAGGCTTCTAGCATATGCTCATACAGTGTATGTGTATCCTGAACATATTAAGCTAATCAAATACTTCTAAAATCATGGAAAAACCCTATCATGGCTATTACTAAAGTTAGATATTTGTCAAGGTGAATTACATATTAAAGGACAAAAATAGAAACATTTGGTTATGCTTCCATTTTGGCCATTTCAGTCTAAAAACATTTTTATCTCACTTTGAAATTCCCAACAATGCTCATTTAATAAATATCCCTGTATGCATTATTTTGATTTGGATAAGCCTCAGTTTCTAGTTTTTGTATTTTGTTTCGGGGAGGTGGGGTGGCAGGCAGGCTGTCATTTCTTATGATTTTAGGGGACTTGCCTTTGGCAAGATCTTTAATGGGGAACTGCCACTCATCAGGATTTTTAAAATTGTGTTTATTTATCCTCTGTATTTAGAAGATGGTTACTTGTGATGTGTGAAGAAACCCACACCACTTTATTCTGCAACTAGACACCTCCATCTTAGCTCGCTGGCAATCATTGTTATAAGTGCTGCCCTTAGCACTTGACAGTGAGCATAGAGAAAGTATACATAGAATAGGAGATATTAAACAATGTATAATACTCTCTCTCATTTTCACTCTTTGACTTGATTGTATATGGACTGAATGAGATTGTGATGTCATTAAATGTTTAACCCCTTAGTGACCAGACCTCTTTTTAATTTTCTTACCGTTTGGGACCAGGGCTGTTTTTACATTTCTGCTGTGTTTGTGTTTAGCTGTAATTGTCCTCTTACTCATTTACTGGAACCACACATGTTATATACCGTTTTTCTTGCCATTAAATGGTCTTTCTAAAGATACCATTATTTTCATCATATCCTATAATTTACTATAAAACAAATGATAAAATATGATGGAAAAATGTAAAAAAACACACTTTTTCTAAGTTTGACCCCAAAATCTGTTGCACATCTACAACGGCCAAAAAACACCCATGATAAATAGTTTCTAAATTTTGTCCTGTTTTTAGAAATTCCCAATGTTCACATGTTCTTAGCCTTTTTTTGCAAGTTATAGGGCAATAAGTACAAGTAGCACTTTGCTATTTCCAAACCATTTTTTTCTCTTCAAAATTAACACGTTACATTGTAACACTGATATTTGTCAGGAATCCATGAATAACCCTTCAAATGTATATATTTTTTAAAAGAAGACAACCTAAGGAATTAAACTTGGGGTATTTTGACTCTTTTCATGCAACATTTTACCACCAATCTATGCCAGATTAAAAAAAAAATAATAATTTGTGGGGTTTTTTTGACACACATAGCAATTTTAGAATACATGTACTGAGAACCTTAGGGTTACTGCAAAAAAAACACCCCAATATGTGTTCAGCAACATCTCCTGAGTACATTGATACCACCCATGTATAGGTGTGTCGGTGTCTCTGGGAGCTAAAAGACCTTATTTGGAGGGTGCCCATTCCAGTTTACCACCTTGGAATTTTCACAGCTGGTCATCATGCACCCATGTCTATATGGGACATTTTTGAAGCCGGCCAATTTTATTTTCTCCCATCAAACTATATATTTTTGAAAAGTAGACACCCTAGGGTATTTTAAACGGTGGTATTTTAACACTTTCCATACACTAATTCTACCACCATATTTATACATATAAATATATATATATATATATATATATATATATATATATATATATATATATACACATAATATGTGTGTGTGTGTGTGTGTGTGTGTATATATATATATATATATATATATATATATATACATACTGCTCAAAAAAATAAAGGGAACACTTAAACAACACAATGTAACTCCAAGTCAATCACACTTCTGTGAAATCAAACTGTCCACTTAGGAAGCAACACTGAGTGACAATCAATTTCACATGCTGTTGTGCAAATGGGATAGACAACAGGTGGAAATTATAGGCAATTAGCAAGACACCCCAATAAAGGAGTGGTTCTGCAGGTGGTGACCACAGACCACTTCTCAGTTCCTATGCTTCCTGGCTGATGTTTTGGTCACTTTTGAATGCTGGCGGTGCTTTCACTCTAGTGGTAGCATGAGACGTAGTATACAACCCACACAAGTGGCTCAGGTAGTGCAGCTCATCCAGGATGGCACATCAATGCGAGCTGTGGAAAGAGGTTTGCTGTGTCTGTAAGCGTAGTGTCCAGAACATGGAGGCGATACCAGGAGACAGGCCAGTACATCAGGAGACGTGGAGGAGGCCGTAGGAGGGCAAAAACCCAGCAGGAGGACCGCTACCTCCGCCTTTGTGCAAGGAGGAACAGAAGGAGCACTGCCAGAGCCCTGCAAAATGAGCTCCAGCAGGCTACAAATGTGCATGTGTCTGCTCAAACGGTCAGAAACAGACTCCATGAGGGTGGTATGAGGGCCCGACATCCACAGGTGGGGGTTGTGCTTACAGCCCAACACCGTGCAGGATGTTTGGCATTTGCCAGAGAACACCAAGACTGGCAAATTCGCCACCGGCAATCTGTGCTCTTCACAGATGAAAGCAGGTTCACACTGAGCACATTTGACAGACGTGACAGAGTCTGGAGACGCCGCGGAGAACGTTCTGCTGCCTGCAACATCCTCCAGCATGACCGGTTTGGCAGTGGGTCAGTAATGGTGTGGGGTGGCATTTCTTTGGGGGGCTGCACAGCCCACCATGTGCTCGCCAGAGGTAGTCTGACTGCCATTACGTACCGAGATGAGATCCTCAGACCCCTTGTGAGACCATATGCTGGTGCGGTTTGCCCTGGGTTCCTCCTAATGCAAGACAATGCTAGACCTCATGTGGCTGGAGTGTGTCAGCAGTTCATGCAAAACGACGGCATTGATGCTATGGACTGGCCTGCCCATTCCCCAGACCTGAATCCAATTGAGCACATCTAGGACATCATGCCTTGCTCCATCCACCACACCACAGACTGTCCAGGAGTTGGCAGATGCTTTAGTCCAGGTCTGGGAGGAGATCCCTCAGGAGACCATCCGCCACCTCATCAGGAGCATGCACAAGCATTGTAGAGAGGTCATACAGGCACGTGGAGGCCACACACACTACTGAGCCTCATTTTTACTTGTTTTAAGGACATTACATCAAAGTTGGATCAGCCTGTAGTGTGTTTTTCCACTTTAATTTTGAGTGTGACTCCAAATCCAGACCTCCATGGGTTGAAAAATTTGATTTCCATTTTTTAATTTTTGTGTGATTTTTTTTGTCAGCACATTCAACTATGTAAAGAACAAAGTAGTTCAGAAGAATATTTAATTCATTCAGATCTAGTATGTGTTATTTTTGTGTTCCCTTCATTTTTTTTAACAGTGATATATATATGCATTATATATGTATAATATATTATAAAATGTTTTAATTATTTTATAACATATTATACATGCATAATATATTTATTTATTTTTTTACTTTTTAGCAGCCTGGGGGACAACCTGACAGAGCTGGTGAAGGGGGACTGCTGGTGTCTCTGGCAGTCCCCCCCGAACCATCATCCCCGCGGATCACCTGTCCAGGTAAGACCAGAGCTCCTATTTGCTGCGGATGTACTAAGTACTTCCGCGGTCCTTAACAACGTTTTTTTTGTCGGATGTACCTAGTACATCTGCGATCTTTAAGGCGATATGTATTTATAACAGAATTTTAAATGTATTTTGATTTAAATATATATGTATATAGATATCAAAATACAGTTAGAACAAATTTAAACCGATATGTATTTTTTTTAAATTTCACTTTATTTTTTTTCTATTTTTTTCTATTTTTTTATTGATTATTTTATTTTATATATATATTTAACACTATGCTTAGTGTATTTTAATTATATAATAATATAGATTAATTTTAAAATATACTTTTAATCATGATTTATGTATGTGTATGTGCATATAAAAGTACATATATATTATTATTATTATTATTACTTGCATTTATAAAGCGCCAACAAATTCCACAGCCATGTACAATTGGGAAAAAAAGACAAAACACAATAAGAACAGACCAATACAGCAGGTAGAGGTCCCTGCCCATGAGCTTACAATCTAAAGGTTATAATGGGGAGATGAGACTAGAGGTAGCAAAGGAATTTGTATGTGATGACAGAGAGCGTTAATGGTATAACTGCAGCAGCTGATAACATGTGAAGGTAATAGGGAGGTGATTGTCTGTGGTTCCAAACAGCTGGAAGTGCATGCT